TAAACACATACTCAATACCATCACACAGAAAAAGTTCAGGAACAAATAAAATTATCCCCCCAAATGAGCCTGGTTTCGATTTTGATTTGTTTTGCAGTGATGCCTAAAAGGTCCCTGAGGATATCTGCAGAGCGATGACTTGTAGTTCAGTGGAAGTCAGTGTTTCATGGCAGATTCCTTAAATAGTGAATTTACTTTTAATGTATGTGCTGTATTTAAGTTTGTTATCACGTAGTTCCACGACGATAAAACAGGAAACAAAAATGGAAAAAAATACCCTAAAAAGAGCAAAACTAGATGCAGCTTTTCTTCTTAAAGAACTGTAGTTAAAATTTAAAAAATATGCATATTTTTTACTTTAGCCAATGTTTTACAACCAGCGCTTCAGAAATACACACTGAAGATGAAGCATGATGAATGCCCAGTACCGTACACTGGGTCACTTCCAGGACTGCAGAGTTCGAACTCACTGATGTCAGTGAGGGCGCTGCAATTTACAGGGGCTGCATATCATACGCCAGCTATTAGCTAGCTGGTTGTAGCATGTTCAAGCTATTAATGTGTCAAACGATACTGATGTTAATTTATGACTATCTGGGATACAGAACTGCCTCTTGTTTTCATTTGACAAATGGTCATTTCGAGACATGCATTTTCAACGCTTATTTTTGAAAGGCAAGAAACAAATTGATAATTTATTTTTCTTTTCATCAACACAGAATTATCGCTGCAGCTCTGATGACTTTATAAGCATTACTGAGAAATATACTTACAAAAACTTGGCCCATTAATACCCATACTTTGTCATCTTGAAATATAACTGCCTCAAAAACTTTACTCCACAAGTTCATTACTCTTAGGAATGTAATTCTTGCTAACACATATCATGTCCCTTTTTAACAAAAAGAGGACTATGCTATTTTAAGGTCTTGCATGTTATTTTTTAATAATGAGCCAGCCATTGAGTTTTTCAGAGCAAAATGTCCTGCTACAAAATGCAAGGCAGTGTAAGTTTTTACCATCATTTATAACTATCTGATCATTTTTACAAGCTGTACTTTTTCACTTTCCCCAGACACAATCAGATGGTAAAATTCATTGCCCAAATATCAGAAGAAATAATTGCATTACTAAAAAAAACGCAAACAAACAATCAAGCATAATGAACCTTCTGCAACAAACAGGAAAACTGAAATGTCTCTGATTCAGTGACTTGCTTGAACAGTATCTGCCTTCACTTTACAATCCATGAAAACCACAGACTAATCATTTAGTCACTAATGAGCAGTAACTCATACCACTCCTGCCTGTGATTTCTGACCATTTCATTAATTAGATAACCGTAACAATTCTCTACTGTTGAATTTACAGTTTTAATATTCAACGTGGAGACTTCACATATCCGTATTCAAATTCCCTAACTTCTCCTGTGGGCAGAAAAGTGTGCACAGAGTGATTAACGCGCACTGGTACAGCTCGTCCCTGTTCACTGCGGCTGTGTCTTGTAGGCACCTGCACTCCCCTCTCCCCAGCACTCCCCACTGCCACCTTGCTTTAGGTAAGCAGCTGAAGCAGCCTGTGTTGCATTTAAGGGGAAGATGCAACAGGGAAGCAATGTTCTCATGTACTTTGCAGATGCCACCTACAATGTCACTTATATTTTACAAAAAATTATAATTTTTAAGAAATTCCATTATTTAATCTAAAATAATAGTAGAATAAAAATAAGCTCTCTCTTTTTTTCCTCGTGAGAAGAAACACTGAATAGCCTAACTCATTGGTCTAGTTTCTAACACTGCTAATGAAGTACTGTTACACCACACTGCTATCCTGCTACCTGTAAAGCGAGGTGGCAGTACCGTACTGATGTGTTCATAAAACACTGGTTCTGTTTTTTTAAAGAGGGAGTTGCCATGCAAACATAAATGCAATACAGCAAAATCAGATGTGCTCTGGCACTAAAAATCACAAGTGGATGGATTTATGGTACTGCACTACTGCCATCAACACAAAGTTCATTAGTATTTTATCTAAGTTACTCTTTTTGGCAATGTTCATATTTGTGCAAACCAAGTGCAGTCTTTAACAGATCATAATAACAATGCTTTAAGCACGTTTAAAATAGCTTAAAATTATGGCAAAGTCTGAGACAGAAAAATTAAGTTCCAAAGCAGGAATCATTCTCTTTCACTAGTTACTTCTATCAAGATAGTTGGGAAGAAAAATCAGAAGGATGTTTGCATCAAGATATATTGCAGTAATTAGATAGAATCTTACCAGACAATGCAACATATTAAATAAAATAATAATACACTAGTCTCCTAAATGACAACAGGAAACTGAGAACATTTATATTGCTTTATTCTACTAATCAATGTAATTAGCTTTAGTATCCTCATATCTAATTATTGCTTTCTACAATCAATATGTGCTTTATTAGATAGCATGGAAATGACAAATAGATCAGAGTTCAAAAAACTTTACGATCTCAAAATCTAGAAATAGTTTAGTGAAAATCTGCCATGCATTATTACCCTCATTACTGTAATATTAAAGTTCATTCACTATATTTTGCATTACATCTGCAAATTTTACCTGAGTATTTTTTGGATAAGTTCTTTTTCAGCCAAAGACAATAGCTGCAATGAAGAAAAATACAACTATCTACGGAGATCTCTAGAAATGGATGCTGTAAATGGATCCCTGTTGTTTTCTGCCTTTGAAAACACAGTGACACTTAATCTAAACTTGTCTGTTACGAAGGAAAAATACACTTTGCATTTTCTTAAGTGAGTCCCAGTCCTGATGTGTTCAGTTTAATACAAGTCTCCCCATGGGCTCCAATGGGCTCTCAGGTCTCTCCACATTTATTAACCTTCCTGCATCTCAGTGCTGTACCACATCTGTGTCACCAGGTAAATGTCACTGGATCAACACAAAAATATGTAGATCTTCATTGGTTTACCCTGTTTGCACTAGCACGTAACTCTCAGAATTACAGTTCTTCTAATTCAGCTTCTTTTTCTCCCCCTCACTTCAAATCAGGGTCAATTAAAGATGTTAATCTTGGCAAATATTTGCCTGGACTATGACTCATGTTCTTTATATGAAGCTGATAAAACATAACTCCACTGGTACTCCTGTTAAAATTACATTTTGAAGACCTGGATTCAAGAAGCGTTGATGTTCTGATTTACATAATCTGAGTCTCCTACCTGTGTTACTTTCATCTCAAATTCTCTGGCTGGGACTATTCAGAGCTTGATTCATAGTATTTTAGCTACAAAGCTGACACACAGAAAAAAATAAAATAAAATTTACTGGTTAAATAGCTTCAGTTCTTCCTGTCAGGCATCAGTACAGAACATGTCTTCTTACTGCTGATATTATAATGTACCAGAAGACTAATCTACACCCTTCTGAAACCAAAGGTGTGGGCTTGCTTTGAATTAAAGTGCTGCCAAAAAGTAGAAGTGAACATTAAAAAGTGCATAAATTACATAATGCAGAGCTCATATAGTTGGTAATATAATACACTTTTTTTCCTCTCTCACTGATCTAAATCTGTTTTAGTCTTGCAGTGGCTGAAAGCTGTTGGTGTCTGGTGGTTAGTAGTCGATCTCTGTCACGTTACCATTGGGAAAGTGTCTGAATGCCAAAAATATTATTCAATTAGAAGTCAAACTGGCTTCAGACTAGATGTTAGAAAAAAAAATATCTTTATCATGAGGGTGGTCAAACACCAGACCAGGTTTCCCAGCAAGGTGGCTGATGCCCCACGCCTGTCAGTGGGCAAGAGGCATTTAGAGATTCCCTCGATAATGTTGGAACTTTGGGTTAGTTCTGGAGCAGTCAGGCAGTTGGACTCGATGGTCTTTGTAGGTCCCTGCCAACTGAACTATTCTAGTCTATTCTAAAATTATACCTTGTTCTTTTACATGTAATTATTCTGCCATAAACAGTGCAACAGCCGTCAGCCTCATCAACACAGGCCCAAGGCAGTGAGGGACACGAAACTCCCATCTTAACCTTACTAAGCTTGCTACAGGGACATCTCTGGGAACTAAAAGACTGTGTCTCAGATCCCTTTAAAATCTGCTTTACTGCCTTATTCTTTCTCATGGAAGAGTTTAAACACTGCTTCGTTAGGTCTCTGTATTACAGATCAATTTTCCAGATGTTTTAACCTGCATTTCACGCCTGTAAGAAACTTCTTTCCACAAGTCTGCAACAGTGATTTAAAGCATGCCACCATCAAACACACAGAAACAGATTTGTGTACTTATCCAAGGGAGGTATCTTCATGTGCCTGGCTTTATCTAACATAATTCCTTTCTTGCTTTGCTCCCTGTCAGGGCAACAAGATGTGAGTGACCTCCTACCTTCTCTTCCTAATCAACATTTCCGCCCAGCAGCTGCTGGCTACTCACTCCCATCCTTCCTCCATGGAGAATTTCACATAGTTAATTACCCGTTTCATCTCTAAGCTCTCACTCTGGGAACTTTGTAATTTTTGGTAAGTGATTGCCAACGGCATCACCTCAATAGCCCAGCTGTTGCTCCCTTGAAGTTGTTTACAGAGATCTCATCTCTGACCATTGTTTAGTTTCCTGCTTGCTCTAGCAAACAGCTCCTTTGATTTCAACCCCCTTCACTCAGAGAGAATAATGTGAAACAGATAAAGTAGAATCCAATTTAAAAAAATAATCTTTTCTTCATTCTCCATAAACGCTCATCAATACTAAACTCACATACATAAACCATGTTGTCTTTAGAGAAGGAAGAGGTAGAAAGTGAGATGCAGAAAGGAAGCTGGGTACACGAAACTTTCATCTCCTCATACTTTAGGTAACTACTTTCCAAGCTGACAAGCTGCTTGTGTCCAGGTAGGTGCAGAAATACCAACCTGATAAGGCCTTTTTCTCAGACTGAAGGATTCAGAATAGACTGTGATTAATTAAAATAATTAAATTAACTTTTGCAAAAGTCATCATACTTACGCTGTCATTGCTTCCTTTGTTGTCCTCATATTTTGTCTCTATATGAATGGAGAATTTAGGCAAAAATGAACACTGCAATAAAAGAAAAATATGTTTGATGTGATAAAAAATATGCCTGCACCATCAGCTGACATATCAGTACATCCTGTTTGGTATTGGCTTTCTTATTTTTATTTTTTTTTCAGATTACTTCAAGAAAAAGTGTCAAATTTTATACAACCATAAAAGTAAAGGGATTTATGATTCTAGAAGGTTACAGAGGTTATATCTGAAAGTTGAATACTAAAATGAAGGTATAAATAAATTACTATGAGTACTCTGGAATAACTAGATACAACAACTTTCATGCACACTATACACAGGAGTACAAATGTCCTGGATGTCTTGCTGAAAGTGCAATACCTGACCATCTCAAGAGCATCTAGATACTCACCATCACAGATTAGTCTACCCTCCATAAAAAAAATAATCCAATAATCCAAGGACTTTTCACTAGCTGCAGGTTCTAACCGAACAGTTACAATATTTTAACATGCAAGGTTTCTTTCTTTCTTTTTCTTTTTTTTTTTTTTTTTTCAGTGGGAAAGGAATTTTAGTATAATTTCCTATTAATTAAATGAAGATGGATTATGAGTTGCCATGGCAAGTCTTTTATACTAGACCCAAATTCCTCTTTGGATAATAATGCAAGAAAATTAGGAATGCACAAACGTTGTGTTTTTTTTTTTTTTTTCTATCAAAATAGTATTTCTGTATTTTATATCAGAATAATATATATATATATATATTTTTTTTTTTTTTTTCTGTGGATTACTTAATTTAGTTGGGTTATCAAGACTAGAGTTTATAATACTAGGCAACATAATTCCAGTGGAGGAAATATTTCAAATATCTTTAGCATTTCACAGTTCTTTCAATTCAATATTTCAGATAGGCAGATAGAGCTGGTATCTAAAAAATATCCAGAGGATGTTGGTTGAACAGCGTCTTTACTGTTAGTCAAGTCTTTTCTTGCATTAACTGCCCGTGAAACCCAAGTGCCACTTCCTTGTATGATGCATCACTAATACCCTATGGCAAAGCGTCTTTGCAAAGACTCTGCCTACTTCACGCCTTGTACATACAGATTATACAACGAGGACATTATGATGCCTCAGTGTTCACACTGCTCTTACTCCAAGTTAGGACTTGATAAAATTTGCAGAATTCTTTTAAGGGATGGACGGATGACTAAGAAAGGAGGTGATTTTGACGGCAATTTACAGTGCAACCAAATTGAAATGAGAAGCCACCTCCTTTGAGACTAGAGAAAATATGTTCCCAATTCCGTGGATCTCATCTAAAAAGCCATCGTTCAATCTCATTTGATCACAGGATATCCAGTATTCATGAGCACATCTACAGCCAGTCATTGGTGCAAAAAAGAATGAGAGTTTTACCAGAACAGGGTTCTGGTGCCATGGACTACACGGATAACAGATTCCTTTGGGGGAGGAAGGAAGGCTCCTGGTCAAACTGTCTCCCCATTAACATAATGAAATATTCCCATGTAACATGTTGCTGCTGCAGATGCACAGACCACACAGGCTTCTCTTCAGATCATATAAATCCGAAAATCAATCCCATCTGAACTGTGACTAGCTCTCAGCTATGCAACTTGTTCATTGAGTAAATACATGGGGTGCCAAAAATAAAATATAAAAAAAATTAGCAAGTACAAGATGGGGCAAGTTCAATGACAGATCTACTAGTTCCTTATTACTCATATTTTGTGGGCAATTAAACCTTTCCTGTATATACATCTCAAAGTGCCAGTTGAAAATATACAATATTTATAAGCATTTGGACGAAAAGACTCCAGATATTCTCCAAATTGAAGTTTTACCATGTAACTCAGTATTTTGCTCCTGTTCTGGCAGACAGCTAAATGCCTCAGCAAACAGCAGGACTCACATGGAAAGAAGTTTATAACAATAACAACAACAACAACAATAATAATAATAAACATTGAGGTTTGTCATAAGGAGGGGGGGATGAAGATCCTTGAATTATATTAATGCTGGTTGGAAGGAAAGATGAAAAAAAGGGATTGATTTTAAGAATTGTATAATCAAATGCTCTTAAATTAATAAAAAGTTATAAATGTATTGCTACAGGAGATATGGAATGACCCAGCATACACAGAGATCAACTAAAGGATATGGAATGACCCAGCATCATCTAAACCACTGTTCATTGTCACTCTGAGGGTTCATATTCAAAAAGTATAAAACAACATTCTAGTTGTTTTCTGTGTTTGCAGGAGAACACAGAAGGTTGAAAAGGTAAATTACTACTGGAGGTGGATTATAAAACGCGGATCTTAAAAAAAAAAAAAAGAAAAAAGATATATATATAACCTAACCACAGACATCTACTGCACAGCTTTTAGAGAATTTGGAAAATAACTCCATCAGTGCTTGGATGGTGAAAACACGGGTTATGAATTTCAAAAACTCCGCATACGTCAACCTTGTATTTTACAAAGATCTCTAACTACTGGGATCACAGTCCAGGCATACAGAGCTCCTGCTGACAATAACCTGGAGCTCTGCATATGGGCATCCCGTGGGAAAGCATCCTTGAGGAAATGAGAGGAGCCTGCCAATGAATACAGTTTGTTTTTATCTGCAGTTACCAGTACTGTTACTGAGTGCAATAACTGGTACTGCACTACTACAGACTCAATACCTAGGTCAGAATAACAGCTTTTAAGAACATTTTCACCAGAAGTAGTAGAGATGTATGCCATAATATTATAAAGTCTAACAGTTTACTAGCATAGCATCTGCATATCTCAAAGTTTTACTTACACGTCAGTGTCAGTTAAGTATCCACCCTCTTGATTTGAGGACTAAAATTTAATTTTCTTTGTGAAACGCTTAAACAAAATCAACACCCCCGAACCAAAATCTAGTCTTTGATACAATGGAAGCAGTGGATGCACCAGCGTAAGGGCCATCAAGACTGTAACGCTTAAGCAGATTGCGTATCTAGGTTGGAGCTTTGGGAGTGTGCAAACTTTTATGTAATACAGTCTGAATCTAGGAGTTTGTCCAAAACCTCAGAGGCTATGGAAATTGCTCTGACTATGCTGACCTTAATGGCTGTGGGTTGCAGAGTTTTCTCAGCTCTCATTCAAGAGGCAGCAGGGTCCACCACAAGACTTGGTGCTGCATTTATGGCCCCATTGTCAGATTTGAAAACTCTACAGCATCTTTCACACTTACAGCTCATCAAAGCTAACATCCTTGCTGAGGGAATTCCTCATCCCTGGTCCTGACTGAAGCATCTTTGCTTATGATCTAACTCTAGAAATTCAGTTGTTGAACAGAGTACATTTTTCAATTTTCATGCGCATCGTTCTTTATAGAAATAGTTGCTTTTGCTTTTAAGTCACACAGTGATGGATGAAACGCAAAACATGAAAAACCTTTGTGCTGTTGATCCAAAGCATGGGAAATTCTGAGTAAAGCCAAGTGACAGATTTCCCTTTTACCTTGCAATCTAAAAACCAAACCAACCAAACAAAATGAACCCTACTATTTTCAACCACTGTCTACCACTTACCAGCACTGAGTCAGATCACAATACTTTGAAATGCAGCCATTTTATATATTGAACTTTAGGCTGTATTAGGCTGCCTGTAGCAGTTCAGCAAGCCACTGCTTGAATCTAGGTGTTTCCTGTAACCCTGAATCTAAACTGCAGAAAAAGATCTTCTAGTCTGGTATTTCAAAAAACAAAAAAAGAACATGAAGAAAAGACTCAGAGTACTACAGAAAAATTACGTGTCTTTCACCTCAAACCACCTCATTAGAAAGTAGAAAGCCATTTTTTTTGCACAAAGATATCAAAGGTCAACCTTCCTGTTTACTAGTAAAAAGGAGAGGACTATAACAATCTAATTTGAGATTGTAGATGGTAACTTGAATTTACCTCCAAATGAAATCCAAAATTCAACAAAAAGTACTGGATTGCAAATACAGCTCTCAAAAACTGAACGGACTGGCAACCACTGTTTCAGCAGCTGTGGGGGGTCTCATTGGCTTTCAAGAACACTTAGCAGGGTCCAAATTTTTGAGCGTTTCACAGAATGTGTCTCATGATTCATCAGCTGCACTCTGACTAATTGGCAGAGGGCTCTGGCAGAACCAGAAAACTGTTTATGCATCATTCAAAAGACTTTATTACTCATGCAAAAAGTACTTTTTTTTCTACTTGAGTGGCTGCATATTTACTTAGCCAGGGATTAAAAGTGTTATGCAACAGTCAGAATCAAACTTGGGAGCGAGTGGTAGGTAATAAACCTGTTGGTAGGTTTTTTTTCAGAGCACCACTCCCTTTTTGCTGTGCCTCCCCAGGGCGTGTGTTCTTCCAGCACAAACCTGGCAGGGATCGATACGCTGAGCACGCACTGGAACGCACGGGACACCATTTCCAATTTTCCATTTCATTATCTCTACAGCTTGCAAGGTGCCTCTTTAGAAAAAAGAAACAGCAGCAAATTGAATCTTTAATTTAAAATTAGGCTTGAATTCTAGAGAGTAGTCCTAGTGCCTTCAAAGTCCCAGGGTCTTCAATAAGGTTGCTTTGAGTAACACTTTCAAAGGAGGCATCTTGTATTGTCACCTCCAGATGTTTTTAGATGTGTTATAAACTCCTTAAAAAATTACTACAATCCAGTACACCTGTGACACTCAGAAAACAAATAAGAAAAATATCTTGGGTGCTTTCTTCCTCTTTGTGTGTGTGGGTGTTTGCGTCTGTTTGTTTTAAACTTTCTGTGTTTGGCATCCTTGTTGGAAGCACCAGGAGAGGATTAAAGCTCAGGAGAGTAAGCAGTGAAACAACCGTGAGTCTGTACTTGTAATTACCACACAGAAGCAGGGGTATTTCCAGATTAAAATAAAGTCAAATGCAAGCAGCATACGGCAAACACATCCTGCAATTGGATTTTCAATTCACTACAGATAGCCTCTTGAAAAATGAAAGGCCTATTTTTAGGTGGTGATTGATTAGCGTTGCCATAG